TCATTGCCTTCTTTCATTCATTCATTCATTACCTTCTTTCATTCATCCACTCATTACATTCATTCATTCATTCACTCATTACCTTCATTCATTCTTTCATTCATTCATTCATTCATTCATTACCTTCTTTCATTCATTCACTCATTACCTTCATTCATTCTTTCATTCATTCATTCATTCACTCATTGCCTTCTTTCATTCATTCATTCATTACCTTCTTTCATTCATTCGTTCATTACCTTCTTTCATTCACTCATTACCTTCATTCATTCATTACCTTCTTCCATTCATTCACTCATTACCTTCTTTCATTCATTCACTCATTACCTTCATTCATTCTTTCATTCATTCATTCATCCACTCATTGCCTTCTTTCATTCATTACCTTCATTACCTTCATTGAACATTCTAGTATCCAACTTGTAATCTCTTGTCTCCAGGGATGTTAACTGCCACACTCCATCATTAATAATAGCTGTTATGTTACATTTTTATAGCCACAGGTGAAGCTTATTGTATTCTATGATGTAATTTACCTGAAGTCAATATCTCTAAGACTTTCAATACAACGTGAAGTCAACAGTTTCTCGACTTTAATCAATATTTGAAGTCAATAGTTGCTTAAATTCGCTACCATATTTGAAGTTTATTGAGAGAGAGAGAGAGAGAGAGAGAGAGAGAGAGAGAGAGAGAGAGAATAAATAAAGTCAATGTGGTCTGGACTACAGTTTGTGTATAGCTTACTGGTGTAATCTGGATAAATATACATATATATGTGTATTTTCATATTATACAACGAGGTGTTGAAGGGATTAAAATAAACAAATAAACCTAAAACTACATCAATAATAGCACAAAGGAAACAAAAGAAATGAGAGAAAATAATGTAAATAAAGAATCCCAAAATGGCAGTCTACTATACTGCGGCACCTCCTTCACCCAACCCTCTCTCTCAGTGCAGAAAATAAGATTAAATTCCTACCCTTCATCTATATAACGTCATAACGCTATATTATTTTGAGAGATCGATATATTATGACGTGTGAGTGACGTCAATAGGAGCGGGATAGAGACCATGATAAAATAAAGAAAAATTATAACTCTTTGTAGTCCATCGATTTTTTTTCCCGCCAAATTTTCAGGTCGATGTTTCTGGTAAAAAATTAAATGAAGGTTAATTTAATAAAAGATAAAAAAAATAGTGCTTTTTGCCAGATTGAAAAAGAGAAATATTAAATTACGTGACTCAGTTCAGAACATCGATGGTACATAAAAATAGATGAAAAATAGGCAGCGTGCGGCGGTACAACAGTTTTTCCCGGGAAGATTTACAACACAGGTGGCGGGCAACAACCAAACTAGCAATACATTCTAACTATATTCCCACCTTCACTAGATTGATATTTTCTTTATATTTATCTTAATCTGGCTAAATTAAAGTCAGTTATAATTTTAATGGTATTTTTGTGGGTTAGCTTAAATTTTACTGTTACATAAATTCGGTCTCAGATTTTAGTCTCGTGGTGGAGATTGATGATGACTCTCTCTCTCTCTCTCTCTCTCTCTCTCTCTCTCTCAATAAACTTCATAATCCGGTAGGGAACTTCAGCAACTATTGACTTCAGTTATTGATGAAAGTCGAGCAACTGTTGACTTCATGTTGTGTTGAAAGTCGATGCGATATTGACTTCAGTGTTCGTAATGATGAAAGTCCAGGAAGGAACTCTTGACTTCTTCAGGAGACTTCAGATAATTACTCTGGCTTCATGACGTCACCCCAGAATTTTACCTCCCACGCCTAGGTCCCCTCCCCTCCCCCCCCTTCCCTTCCCTTCCCTTCCTTCTTCCCCCCTTCCCTTCCCTTCTCTCCCCCCCTCCCCCCTTCCCTTCCCTTCCCTGTCCTCCTCCCTCCCCTCCCTTCCCCCCCTTCCCTTCCCTCCCCCCTCTGTCACCTCTCACTTGTTGATTAAGTGAAAACCAATCTGAGCTGTTAGATGGTGAGTGAGTGAGTGTGAGGTGAGTGTGAGTGAGTGAGGTGAGTGTGAGTGAGAGTTGTCAGCCATACACACACACACACCCACACACACACCCACACACCCGCCAACACCCACACACCCACACACACCCACACACCCACACACCAAGACGGACGGACGGACGGACAGACAAAGACTCTTCTCACTCCAGTCTCTACCTCATCTCACCCCTAGGAAGTCATTACCTCGGCTGGCCTCAACACAAAAGTCTCTCCGGGTTGACTTAAAGAGACAATTTTGTGTGTGTTCATCTCTCTGTTGTGTCCTGCTATAAATTCTCTTTTGGTGAGAGAGAGAGAGAGAGAGAGAGAGAGAGAGAGAGAGAGAGAGGTCAAGGAAGGAATTGACGGAGGAAGGAAGGAAGGAAGGGATAAAGGAGGAGAATACAGAAGAAAGAAGGAAGAAGAGGGGAGGAGGATGATGATGAAGGGAAAATACCGCTAAGGAAGAGTAAAGACCATTCAAAAAGAGAGGGGGAGACAGATAGACAGACAGACAGACAGAGCAAAGGCATAGACAGTAAAGGCTACGGTGAAGAAGAGGGGAAAGGGTGAGAGGGAAGGAAGGGAGGGAGAGGGCCAGGTAATATTGACCGTTTCCTCCTCCTCCTCCTCCTCCTCCTCCTCCTCCTCCTCTTCCTCCCCTCCTCCTCCTCCTCTTCCTCCCCTCCTCACTCCTCCTTCTTCTCTTCCTCCCCTCCTCCTCCTCCTCTTCTTCCTCCCTCCTCCCTCCTTCTCCTCTTCCTCCTCCTCCTCCTCCTCACCTCCTCCTCCTCCTCCTCCTCCTCCCCTCCTCCTCCTCCTTCTCCTCTTCCTCCCCCTCCTCCTCCTCCTCCTCAACTCTCAGATCAGCAAATTCACTTAAGTCATTAATATTTTCTACCTGCGTCAGTCAGCTCTGTGAACACCAAACCTGGGTGACTGACTGACTGACCATCCCTCACTGACACAGCTTCGTGGTGTCTCATTCAGTCTAGAATTTATTTACAAAACTTTAATTACCTGTCTGGTGTTACGTGATTGATTCCCATCATAATCTGACCTCATTTCACCTGTTCTCATCTCACCTGTACTCACCTCACCTGCCCCTTCCTCACCTCACCTGTCCCTTCCTCACCTCACCTGTCCCTTCCTCATCTCACCTGTCCCTTCTTCACCTCGCCTGTCCATACCTCACCTGTCATTTCCTCATCCCACCTGCCCCTTCCTCACCTCACCTGTCCTCACCTTTCCTTTCCTCACCTCACCTGTCCCTTCTTCACCTCGCCTGTCATACCTCCACCTGTCCTTTCCTCCATCCCACCTGCCCTTCCTCACCTCCACCTGTCCCTTCTCATCTCATCTGTCCCTTCTTCACCTCGCCTGTCCATACCCCTCACCCTGTCCTTCCTCATCTCATCTGTCCCTTCTTCACCCCTCGCCTGTCCATACCCTCACCTGTCCTTTCCTCATCCCACCTGCCCTTCCTCACCTCACCTGTCCCTTCCTCACTCTCACCTGTCCTTCTTCACCTCGCCTGTCCACGCCACCTCACCTGTCCTTCCTCATCTCATCTGTCCTTCTTCACCCCTCGCCTGTCCATACCTCACCTGTCCTTTTCCTCATCCACCTGCCCTTCCTCCACCTCACCTGTTCTCACCTGTACTTTCCTCACCTCACCTGTCCTTTCCTCACCTCACCTGTCTTCAACTCCGCTGATCTCCCTTCCTCATATCCGGTTACCAGGGGAGGGAGGGAGGGAGGGGAGGGAGGGAGGGTGGAAGAGAAGGAAAAAGTGAGGATTGGAGGGAGGAGGGAGTGAGAAGTGAAAAATGGAAGGGGAATGAGAAAGGGAAGGAGTGAGGAATGGAGGGAGGAGGGAGTGAGATAATGAATGGAGGAAGGGAGTGAAAATGGAGGAAGGGAGTGAGATAATGAATGAATGAGAGAGAGAGAGAGAGAGAGAGAGAGAGAGAGGTATGTTATGTTAATTTATGTTATATTACTCCTCAACAAACAACTAGTGTAAGGTGTCTTAATCTTTTACTGTACAATAATAAATACACTATAGTCACCCACAACAGGTTAACAGAATTACTCTATATCTCCTGTGGTCATAATTAGGACAGAGTGGGGCGTCTGGTCTAACCTGTATACAATTCTTGGTAACTTAAGTGTGTTTGATGCCCTGCTTGTGTGTGTGTGTGTGTGTGTGTGTGTGTGTGTGTGTTACAGTATAATAATCATTCTTATTATTATTATCATCACCACCACCAAAGTGTTCTAATAAGCTTACCCAACTTCCCTTTCTCCTCTCACTCATTTTTTAACTTTTCTATGACGTTATAATGAAGCCCTGGCCAGGTACATTAGCTTCCTGCCCACGGAGACAAAACACGTAATCGTACACTTGATCGAGAAATAATTATAAAGCTTTGAAAAAATGTATTAAGCTTTGAGTTTTTTATGAAGCTTTGAAAAAATATATTAAGCTTTGGAAAAATGTATTAAGCTTTTAAAAAATGTATTAAGCTTTAAAAAATGTGTTAAGCTTTGGAAAAAAAATTAAGCTTTGAAAATATGTATTAAGGTTTGAAAAAATGCATTAAACTTTGGTAAATAACTATTAGGCTAAAGAAATGTTATCAAATGTATAAATTTTTGAGAGATGTAAAAAAAAATAAGCTTTATGAAATTAGTTAAGCGTTTAAACAATATATTAAAGCTTGAAAAAATTCTATTAAGCCTTGGAAAAATATTAGGTATATATTTATAGTCTAATAATAATAATCTGTGGGAACTTACAGATTTTATCCGTGTGAAAAATCTGCCACATTTTAACATCATTGTCCTCCACTACCATTTTTTTTACACAGATTCTGACAGATTCCCACCATTCTCTTGACAGATTCCCACACATCCGTAATAGATTCCCACCATTCTTGACACATTCCCACCATTCCTGATATTCCCATTCCCATTACAGACTGCACCTGGACCAGCCTCGGACCATCTACCGGAGCGCGAGTGAGGGGACCAAGTGGAAGATTGTGATAGATGGTTCCTCTCCTCCCCTTAGCAGAGATGGTGCTGGTGCCTCCCATGGTGAGTATGGTGCTGGTGCGTCCCATGGTGAGTGTATGGTGCTGGTGCGTCCCATGGTGAGTGTATGGTGGGGTGATATAGTGAGTGTATGGTGGGGGGTGACATGGTGCTGGTGCTTCCCATGGTGAGTGTATGGTGCTGGTGCGTCCCATGGTGAGTGTATGGTGGGGTGATATAGTGAGTGTATGGTGGGGGGTGACATGGTGCTGGTGCTTCCCATGGTGAGTGTATGGTGCTGGTGCGTCCTATGCTGAGTGTATGGTGGTGGATGATATGGTGCTGGTGCCTCCTATAGTGAGTATGGTAGAGGTATGGTGAGTGTGGTGGGGATGATATGGTGCTGGTGCCTCCTATAGTGAGTGCATGGTGGGGGTGATATGGTTAGTGTACGGTGGGGTAACATGGTGCCGGTGTGATATAGTGAGAATGGTGAATGAGTAGTGAGGTTGTTATGATTATACTGTCCATTTTGATATGGTGTGGGTTAGTATGGTGGTAATGGTTTAATGATACAGTGCTGGTGTCTCATGGTGGATATGGTTGTAATGAGCTTGAGTATGGTGATGATCCTTGTTATGGCGAGGTAAGTATGGTGATTATGATATAGTGAATGGTGATAATGTTTACCTACTGTATTTTCAATCCTTTCAACATAACTTTAAATGAATGACGTGAAGATTAGACACCCCAGCTTATTTCACCTGTTGATTAGACACCCCAGCTTATTTCACCTGATGATTAGACACCCCAGCTTATTTCACCTGATGATTAGACACCCCAGCTTATTTCACCTGATGATTAAACACCCTGAGGGGGGTGTTAGGTTAAGCTGGGGTGTCTAATCTTCATGTTAACTCAGAAAATTATACGTGACCTGTATTGTTCCAGAGGTGTAAATATAGTTATAATAAATACATCGGGAAAATAAATGGTAATAAATCGTTAAAATATAATTAAAAAAAAAGCCCTTTAAGTTAAGTTTATCTGTTTACGTTCAGTTTTGTTTACAGCGCCATATTGGATTAGTCAGACGTCATCACTATGTAAGAATTTGGGTTATTGTCAAAAACCATAAATAATGAATAATAAAAAGAAATAAGAAATATATTATGGTTGTACTTTTTATTATTTAATCTTTATAACCGAGGAAAGGTAAATAAAGGTATATAATTTGTGTTGTGAATGTTGTTAAATCCGCCAGCCTCCGGGCAGCTGAGCGGCTCACACGTCACCACAGACCATGTGACCTATGACGTCAAAGCCTCGGGGTACTATATAACACGTGACTACTTTACTTTATTGTCTGTAATATAGTGAGGCGATGATTGTGACAGCTGATAGTAATATGGTATGATAATAAGTCTGATAAAGTTCTGTCACGCTATTTATGTCAGGATAATAGAGAGCGATAACAGAGACTCTTCATGGTGTCAGGGAGGCCGTGTCACGCCACCAACAAAACTACGGTGTCACTACTGTACTACGGTGTCAATAACTACTGTACTTCGGTGTCGCTAACTACTGTACTTCGGTGTTACTAACTACTGTAATACGGTGTCAATAACTACTGTACTTCGGTGTCGCTAACTACAGTACTTCGGTGTTACTAACTACTGTAATACGGTGTCAATAACTACTATACTACGGTGTCAATAACTTCTATACTTATACTACAGGTTGAAAATTACACCTGTACCACATATTACAAGCTGCCTCACTTATGTTGTTATATTCTCCTCAGACCGCCGTAACGAGAGGCCGAAGAGCCCAGTGGAGAAGCAGCCGACATGGCCCATCACCTACTCCCACTTCTTACACCCTCGACCACGACTCACCCACCAAGACAACATTCAGGTGGGTTCTCCCTCCACAACCTTGCCTTCAGGAGGGGAGTTCTGGCCGATTCAGATTCATTACCCATTTCGGACAGGATCTAGATGGCACTGTCTTACTTCAGGTAGGTTCTAGTGGCTCTAACTCACTTCAGGTAGGTTCTAGTGGCTCTAATTCACTTCAGGTAGGTTCTAGTGGCTCTAACTCACTTCAGGTAGGTTCTAGTGGCTCTAACTCACTTCAGGTAGGTTCTATTGGCTCTAACTCACTTCAGGTAGGTTCTAGTGGCTCTAACTCACTTCAGGTAGGTTCTAGTGGCTCTAATCTCACTTTAAGTAGGTTCTATAGCTGCTCATTCACTTCAGGCAGGTTCTAGTGGCTCTAACTCACTTCAGATAGGTTCTAGTGGCTCTAATCTCACTTCAAGTAGGTTATATAGCTGCTCATTCACTACAGGCAGGTTCTAGTGGCTCTAACTCACTTCAGATAGGTTCTAGTGGCTCTAATCTCACTTCATGTAGGTTCTATAGTGGCTCATTCACTTCAGGTAAGTTCTAGTGGCTCTAACTCACTTCAGGTAGGTTCTTTTGGCTCTAATCTCACTTCATGTAGGTTCTATAGTGGCTGATTCACTTCAGGTAAGTTCTAGTGGCTCTAACTCACTTCAGATAGGTTCTAGTGGCTCTAATCTCACTTCATGTAGGTTCTATAGTGGCTCATTCACTTCAGGTAAGTTCTAGTGGCTCTAACTCACTTCAGGTAGGTTCTTTTGGCTCTAATCTCACTTCATGTAGGTTCTATAGTGGCTGATTCACTTCAGGTAAGTTCTAGTGGCTCTAACTCACTTCAGATAGGTTCTAGTGGCTCTAATCTCACTTCATGTAGGTTCTATAGTGGCTCATTCACTTCAGGTAAGTTCTAGTGGCTCTAACTCACTTCAGGTAGGTTCTATTGGCTCTAATCTCACTTCATGTAGGTTCTATAGTAGGTTCTATTGGCTCATTCACTTCATGTAGGTTCTATAGTGGCTCATTCACTTCAGGTAGGTTCTAGTGCCTCTAATCTCACCGCCATGTCTGATAAGGCTTTTCTAATTAATTATTCCTTGGGTATTATTAATTATACAGTTTAATCATGTAGCGTGATTTAGCTAGATGGTTTGTGAATCGAAAAAAAAAATGATATGACTTATACATGACAACTAATCTTTATTTAATTACTTCTGTTGCTTATTTAATTACTGCTATTACTTATTTAAGTACTTATGCTACTTATTTAATTACTTCTGTTACCTCTTCGTTTGGTGTTAAATAATTAATGAACCATAGTAGGAACCATTTGATTGGATTACTGCAGGTTACTGGTCTAGTGATGTGTGGAAATCTGTCCAATTAAAAGTGTGGTACGCAAATTAAGTTTCCTGTATGTATTAATTTTTGTGCAATATGAGTCGTTTGATCCCCTTCACAGCTGCCAAGTAGGAAGGGGGGGGGAGTGGGGAGGAGGGAGAAAGAGGGAGAGAGCAGGAGGGAGAGAGAGAGAGAGAGAGAGAGAGAGAGAGAGAGAGAGAGAGAGAGAGAGAGAGGAGAGAGAGAGAGAGAGAGAGAGAGAGAGAGAGTAGAGAGAGACGCGACCACCTACCCCCCACACACCCACACAGACACACACACCACACACACACACACACACACACCCACACACACACACACACACCCACACCCACACACACACACCCTCATCAATCCTGTAGACTGTATGTTTACTTCATATGTAAATGTTCAAAAAATATTACAGTGAAATTTTTTTTACTTGCTTTGATGCCCCGCTGTGTCTAGTGTTTATTGATCTACGCTTGTCTGTCTGTCTAACTGTCCATTTGTTTGTCTATTTCTGTCTGTCTGTCTGTACCTCCGTCCCACATCCGTTAGTAATTAGGAGCCAAATGACCTTAACAAGCATAGAGAAGTGTAATATTGCTGCCTTGTTTATTTACACACTGGGAGAACTTCATTTACCTTTATAGTGTGCTGGAGGGAAGACTTATTTGGGGAGCAGTTTCCTCACATATTTTTGTAACTTTTTCCATCATTTTTCGTAATTTTTTCCATATTTTGGGGGTAACTTTTCCATAAATTTTCGTTACTTCCATAATTTTTCGTAACTTTTCTCACATATTTTTGTAACTTTTTTCATAATTTTTGCGTAACTTTTCCATAAATTTTTGCGTAACTTTTCCCTAATTTTTCATATTTCCATAATTTTTCTTAACCTTTCCACAATTTTTCGTAACTTTCTTCTCACATTTTTCTAACTTTTCCACAACTTTTGGTCATAGGTGCATCACGTACACGACTCACGGACTGTATTTTTAAACAGATTTTTTTAAAGAGTCCATTTTGCACTGTGTTACCTGAGGGGCTGTGTGTTTATAGGGGAAATACTTTAGTTTATTATTTTTTAATTATTTTTTATTTATTTTTTATTTATTTATTTATTTTTTATTATTTTTTTAGAGGTTGCTATTATATTTGTTTGTTTGTATTTTGTTGGGGCCTAGTGAGAAGTGTGTTGGACGTAGTGTTGGAGGGTGGTGGTGGTGTTGGAGGATATTGGTGGTGGAGTTTGGTGGTGATGATAGTGGGGGGATGGGGGTGTGATGGTGGTTTTGGGGGATAGTAGTGATGGTGTGCCGGGGTGGTGGTGGTGATGTTGGCGATGGTGTTTGTAGTGTTGGGGGATAAAGGTGGTGTGCGGGGGTGATGGTGGTGGTGGTGTTCAGAGGATGTTGGTGTTGGAGTATGTTGGTGGTGGAGGTATTGAGGGTGGTGGTGGTGTTAGGGGGATGTTGATGGTGGTGTAAGGGAATGGTGGTGGTGTTGGGATGATGATGGTGTTGGGGTAATGGTGTTGGTGGTGATAGGGTGTAGTATAGTGGCAGTGGGGAAAGCGATTTGTTATATAGCGTAAATATTATACGATTTTCTTTGTATATATATATATTTTTTTTAATTAAGCGCCATAGAAATTCGTCATATTGTTTTGTACGGA